ACTTCGCGCTGGCCGTATTGCTACTTCATATTTGCTTTGCTTGGGTGGTGAGAAGAACACCGGTTTGTTCCTTTCTCGACTCCCTTTCTCTCTCTTTCACCATGCCACGAGGCTCTGTACGAGGAAGCAGACGTGGACGCGGACGCGGGTATGCCGTCGAGGTTACCCGTCGCCGCTCGGGTAGGGCTTCGACCTCGCCATACGTGCGGACTGACGGCATGCGCGCCTTCGCGCCTTATGCCTCCGACACACCGTCAGCAGCTAGTTCAGACTTCTGACCCCGCTCCAGGCACCGACGCTTCTATGCAGGACGAGCCCTCATTGCTCTCCCCGGACATCATTTCCTCAGGCGTTATGAAGATGAACGCCCTCCACCCTCTCCTTGAACGCGTGGAACGCCTGGAGAAAACAGTGCTGAGTCTGATCTGGAAGCCGATCTCTCCCACGCGCGCGCTCCGCACCCGAAAGATCGCTCCCACGCTCCGAGCGTCAAGCTCCGGACCTATCCTGCCCGGAACTTCCAGTTCTATCGGAACCTCCGACTTTGCCAGGACCCCCAGTTCTCTCCAAGCCCTCGGTTCTACCCACACCGCCACGTCGTGCGATTGAAAAAATCCAGCGCGGAGAGTTTGTGGAACTTGAGGAACTCTTGCCGGAAAATTTCAGCTCCCAGGGACAGGAGCCAATACAACTGGTTACAGCTGGCAGCGACATGGCTCAGCCCTCGCTCAACCTCAGCGCAAAGCACACACGCGCGCGCGATCAACGACTTCTCGGCTTGGCTGGAGGCCTGGACGATCTACATGGGCATCGTCGTTCTTGCTCGTCCTGACCGAGCTCATGAGCTCGTCTGCTACCAGCACATACTTTGTACTGCGAACCAACAGTTCACGACGTCTGCTGTGCTGAACTATGATCGAGCATTTCGCCAACACACCGCCAGCATGGCACTGCGCTGGGACGCGATCAATCAGACGCTGTGGAGTATTCACCTAGTATTCACCTACTCCGCTCTCCCCGTCCGTCATGCACCAAATGCACGCTCCAAAACAGCCGCGACCGCTGCCCACATGCCGCAGCTCAACACGCGCAGCCCTTTCCATCAGTGGCGGGCAGCACCCGCCAAGTCTGTTTTAACTTCAACCGCGGCAGGCCCTGTTCCCGCACACCCTGCGACCGTCTCTACGCCTGCAGCTCATGTGAAGACAAAGGACATGCCGCCACATCCTGCACCAGCACCACCCGCTTCAGGTGGCAGCGCCCTGCAGATAGCCACGAGAAGACCTCGAAGCCCACTGAGAAAAAGTAAGCCGACTTCCACTCCCCTGAACACTGTTCGCTTTCACACATTACTGCCTTCCTCGGAATTGTGCTCGACACGGTGCGCATGGAAGCCCGTCTCCCAGACGACAAACCGGCGGACCTCCGCGAGCTCCTCAGCGAGCTGTCACGCTGCACCCAGACCACGCAACGCAAACTCGATCACTTCCTGAGGAAACTCTCCTTTGCGTCGAGCGTCGTCGTACCAGGCAGAACATTTACGCGGCGCTTATGGGATCAACAAGAGGTTTAGCCGCGCCAAGCCCTATTTCCGTATCACTCTGACAGGCATTCCAGCAGCTGGCACCATCGGCACAGCAAGCCCCGGACACTGCAATCCGCCTCCCTCTCCTGGACTGATGCAGGAGGTCGCCGACCTGGCAGCCATGGCAATCGCCCCGACAACACGGCGCACGTACACCACTGGCGAAAGGAAATTTACGCAATTCTGTGCGTTGCAGAGATGGACGCCCATGCCGGCTACAGACACGATGCCCAGCTGCTTCGCAGCACACCTCACACAATCGGTTCAACCACAGATAATTCATGTCTACAGGGCCGCAGTACGCAACATGCATCTCGAAGCCGGATTCCGAGATCCAACGACGAACGCACTGCTGCCGCCACGTGTTATGCGAGGCATCAAGAGGACGGCGACTGACCCGGCAATCCAGCGCACTCGCCTCCCAATCACCATTGATTTGCTGCGGAAGCGCCTCAACCAACTCAGCCTGGACCAACGGCGTCACCAGCAGGACAAGGGCATGCTCAACGCGGCAATGGTGCTCGCCTTCTTCGGATTTCTTCGATGCGCTGAATTCACTGCGCCTCCAGCCGGGTTTGACCCTGCCACTCATGCCACGCGCCAAGATGTGACTCTGGATGTCACTCAAGGACGCACATATATCCGCTTCCACATCAAGCAATCGAAGACGGACCAACTCCGTCAGGGCCATGCAGATAATCGGTAGTACCACTTCACAACCTTGCCTGGTTGCCGCCCTCCTGGCATATTTTACAGTCTGTCTGCCTGACGCCACTGACGCACTCTTCCGCTACCGCCCTGGGAGACCGCTGACCAGGCAGGCACTGACAGAAGAGCTCCGACAGCTTCTCCCACTCACGGGAACACCCAATTCACGCGATTACGCTGGTCATTCGTTCCGCATCGGTGCCGCCACTACTGCAGCCATGGCGGGTACCCCGGACTGGCTAATCAGGGCAATGGGCCGATGGAGAAGCGACAGTGTCTTGAGCTACATCAGGACAACCGACACAGACATGGGGCAGCTGACCCAAAAGCTGTCAGAGGTACAAGCGCATCACAGAACGCATGGAGGTATGTAAGAACCCGCCACGCGGGCACGCAACTCGCACCCATGCACGTACCCACACGGCTGACCGTTTGGAACAGCACAGCAACTTGCTGTGCTAGGATTGTGCTGACAAACTGCGCTGATAGCAACAACAGTGTCATTCATGTGCATTGCAATGTGTCACAACTTAGCATGGAGGCTGGGCAACCATGGGCCAGCTATCTCCTCTCATCTGGCAATTATCACGGCCTTCGGCGATCACACTCATACTCCCACACTCCTGCCTCCTAACGGGCATTGCACTTCGTGCGTGGGCCGTCCACACTCCGTCCATTTCATGGGCGCCCATCTCATGGGCTGCACTTTGTGCGTGGACATACATACACACTATCATACAGGCCGTCCACACTCCGCCCAGTTCATGGGTGCCCATTTCATGGGCTGCACCTCGTGTGCGTGGGCCGTCCACACTCCGTCCATTTCATGGGCGCCCATCTCATGGGCTGCACTTTGTGCGTGGACATACATACACACTATCATACAGGCCGTCCACACTCCGCCCAGTTCATGGGTGCCCATTTCATGGGCTGCACCTCGTGCGTGGACTATCCTACATGATTATCACATGCCAGATTCGGTTGCCCAGCACTCCATGAATCCTCCATATGATGTGTGCTCTCCACTGGTCTGCAATAGCGAGTGCATGCGTGTTAATAGCACATTAGAGCTTGCGGTAATGTAGGTTAACACATTGCACAAGCCACCACTTCACACGCGCTCCAGCGGCTTCCAAAGAGCCCGCAGATCCCACGCTATTCATTGATGCATGTCAAGTAACACGTACATGCACGCTGTGGTGGCATGTAACATGCGTACGCCGGAACTCACCTGAACTCGCCAGCCAACCAGCCATATGCGGCTGCAGCACACATCGGAGCTTGAACCCGTAACGTATACACCATACTTCGCGCTGGCCGTATTGCTACTTCATATTTGCTTTGCTTGGGTGGTGAGAAGAACACCGGTTTGTTCCTTTCTCACCCACCCACCTCTTCCCATCTATGAATAATATTGATATCCTTGATTCAACACAGGTATCATAATTCATACAAGACGAAAATAAATAGGAGTGCTGGGCCAGCTATCTCCTCTCATCTGGCAATTATCACGGCCTTCGGCGATCACACTCATACTCCCACACTCCTGCCTCCTAACGGGCATTGCACTTCGTGCGTGGGCCGTCCACACTCCGTCCATTTCATGGGCGCCCATCTCATGGGCTGCACTTTGTGCGTGGACATACATACACACTATCATACAGGCCGTCCACACTCCGCCCAGTTCATGGGTGCCCATTTCATGGGCTGCACCTCGTGTGCGTGGGCCGTCCACACTCCGTCCATTTCATGGGCGCCCATCTCATGGGCTGCACTTTGTGCGTGGACATACATACACACTATCATACAGGCCGTCCACACTCCGCCCAGTTCATGGGTGCCCATTTCATGGGCTGCACCTCGTGCGTGGACTATCCTACATGATTATCACATGCCAGATTCGGTTGCCCAGCACTCCATGAATCCTCCATATGATGTGTGCTCTCCACTGGTCTGCAATAGCGAGTGCATGCGTGTTAATCCGCATTCACGGTTTGACGGGGTTCACGGTAGTCTGAACGCGCCCTAAGAATTTCGGCCAGGTTTCCGGCCTTTTGGTTTGGGTGTGGGTTTACAATTTGCCCTGGAAGCCAGTATCGATTTTTATCAAAACCCACGATTTATCCTTTCTTTTTTGGCCTTGTGGTTATGATTGCTGTCTGCTGACCATGAAGTTGTGAGTTCAAATCCCAAACTATCTTCAAGCTAAACCTTTTTTCATTGTTTTAGTGATCACGCTGGTAGATGTACAAAAAGTACAAGCCAAAGAAGGTGGCTGCGACTTGTATTGATCGATCAATCGATTTCTCTCTCACTCACTTACTGATTGTAGTTCTCTCCCCGTCAGACGAAATAGCACGTCATAGTACATTTGAGATCAGCAGGAAGAAGATGACGACGTCCACTAATTTAGTACCTGTGCACACGAATCTGCTGTGTATGTGACTCTGTGTGTCAGCTATGATATCATCCCCTGTGGTTCCATGCCTAGCATGTATGTCTGAACCATCCTGCAATGTTTGAATGACGTAGGTTGAGCGATCGCTCCGCGAAACATACTCGTCAGGCGAAATTGCTGGTCAGTCGGCGTCACGCATTTTTCACAAAAATTTGCGTTTCACATTTTTCACTGCACGTCATCAAAATAATGCTTCGCGTTGATTGAGCGAAGGATTTTTTTCATCTTCTTTCTAAAATATTTTTGAATTTTAGTAGTGGAAGAGAGAGAAAAGAGATAGTACATGTAGTTGGAAAGTAATTTGTTGCTGCCAATGATGGAGAGGACGAGGAGAAGCGAGCGGGTGGAGGGTTTTTATAGGCGACTTGCCAGCCCCAATGTCGACCTTCGCCAGTGTGCGAAGTCGTCACCACGACCAGCTGCGCCGGAGGAGTATGCCGTGGACTTTGTTGTCGGCTGCCGGGATCGCAATGTAAGTGTGAGTTTCTCTATCTCAGCAGAGATGTTGATTTGCTGTTTACTTTAGTTTGCACCCGGCTTCATTGCATGTTTGAATAGGGAAAGAAAGAATTCCTTTTGAAGTGGAAGGGCTTTCGCATGGAGGAAGCTTCGTGGGAACCTCGTCACCACCTCACCCCAGAACTTCTGGCCGAGTATCTGTCCCCCGATGCCCCGCCAGCGACAGCCATATCAGAATTTGCTTCTGTGCTGTGTGGGCGCATCAATGCGTGTCTATCGTCGCCCCATCCCCAAACCTTTGTTGTCCCTATGTCTCGTCCTATGTTTCGTCATTTGTTCCCTTGTACTGACCCTGAAACTCCCTCTTCCAAGTATTGTGTTGTCCATTTACCTAGCTTGTCTACTTCCCATTTCCCCCCATTCATTTTCATGCGTTTGAATACTCATGGGCAAGGGACGCAAGTTATGTCTATGTCTGTTCGTCATCGTCAAAGGGAACAGAAGACTGGGTATTGCAGTGGACCAGACGGGAAAATAGTTCCCCAGAAAAGTTTATTCATAGAGGAACTGTCTGTGCACGTTGAGAAAAAAGTTCTGGTTTTGTAAACAATATTTTCAACAAGGAATCATGCAGCATGATTTTTCGTTATAAAATCAGCTCCTCAAACTTCACCTTATCTGTAATACTTTGACAAGCACTCGCACACCAGAAGTCATAATTTCATTTTATTTTTACGATATATTTTATTGATGGGCACAATGCCAGTTACTGCCGTTGTACTCTGTGTGTCACTGAGTGCCTCTTGTCACGGGCTATCGCATCACCATCGTGGCCGGTAGCTGATTCCACAAGTCCTACAGATAGGCAGGCAGCAAAATAACATACACACCATTCATTCAGATTATTCGAAGTTACGCTGCGCAACCCAGGTATTAGCCAACAAGTACACACAGAATTTGAAGTAAATTATATCCAATGTCGCACTTCGTGTTACAATATCAAAGACGCACACTGACACATGAAAGTACACAAGCCCACAACCAGAACAGAGTGCAGGGAAGTTAGTTGCATGGTCCTAATATTATCGGGGTGACTGTCATGGAATGTAATTAACGCCCCAGCCGCAACACAGAAACAGTTCTTACAATATATTTGATGGGCACAATGGCAGTTACTGTGGTGCGTTCCTCTGTGTGTAGTGCCTCTTAGCACGGACTATTGGATCACCATTGTGGTCGGTAGCTGATTCCAGGTCATGCAGGCGGCGTTTGGTTGCCAAGATATCGACTGCGGCATGATGGCGATTGCAGCTTCTGTAGAAACTTTTGCTGTCCGAATTGTTTTTCTCTACGCCCTGTCCCGAGAACAGCTTCAGACTTCCATATTTTTCAGCCATTCCTGGGGCGTGATACGCCATCGCGTGCATATACGGAGTGACTCTGGCTTTGAAGTATGACTGGTGTACCGGACCCAGAGCCGTAAATTTATTAATAAACGCCTTTGCGCTTGTGGACGTGTCAGTTGCGGTAGAGCCATGTTTGCACAGTTGGTCATGGACACTAATGAAATTTATCCACAAGTCCTACAGGAAGGCAAGCAGGAAAATAACATACACATCATTCATTCAGAGTATTTCAAGTTTCAGGTTTCCCATAAATGTTAGCACCACCACCGCATTTCGCAACCTAGGTATTCATGTTACAAAATCAAAGACGCACATTAATACATAATTGTTATGGAATTTAATTAACGTCCCACCCGCAACACAGAAATAGTCCTTGGCTACACCACAAAAACTGATTTTATCCAAATTACAATCCAGGTGGCCAAGGACTGCTTGGATGTTGTGGGTTTGAGCGTTTATTAGAAAGATATACAGTCCAGCTTCAAAGTTTCCGAAACGTCATGCCACTAAATGTCTCTTACTGGTATAGCATTTCAGTTAAATTACAGTAGGCTAGAATTTAAGATGATACTTTCGATCTCTAATACACGCACATGGGAACCATACCTTCACTGCCACTGCTGTTTCTGCATCCATAAATGTGGGGAAGTGCTCCGGCAGCCGGCCGAGGAGTTTCTTTTTGATGCAGCCATCGATACTGGTCCAGTCCAGACTTGAAGTGTCCTGACCATTTTCGTTCTTTTAAACCATATTTTGAAAGGAGTGTATACGTGTTCTTTGATGGTTGCCATTATGCATTTAACCTTAGTGCCCAACTGCTTCTTTTCGCCTTGTTTCTGATCCTCCGCCTGCGCAGTGCACATTATGCAGCCAAGTAGTCTATCCACGACACGTAGCAGCAAGTGCAGCTCATCCAATACGACATTTGTCAAGTCAATGGTGAGTAGTGGTGCTTGGTGGCTTCCTAGTCGTTTGTCTGTTGTCTTCTCCTTGTAAAGTGTTGTCATGTCAGTATGCGTCCTTGCCATTGGTCCGGTGTTGTAGAAACTGATGTCTTTTGTCATGTCATGTCGGTCTTTGTCAGCCACCTTGCACCACACACACGCATAGCGGGCGGATGCCTTGTTCATGCCCATTGTGAGCAAGAGGAACTTGTAATCCGCTGCAAAGACTATGTTCAGCCGAACAGTTGTGTCTCCAACTTTCACTGTCGGGTCCTGTGAGAAGATATGAAACACAGCAATGCAAACACATCTCCTTTGTGCATTCACTGTGATGTAATTTAAAAAGCTAAACACATGCTGACAATAGCAGTGAATGAGTCCATTACCGCTCTTGGTTACAAGTTTGACTGTACTGTTAGTAATATAGTAATACAGTAATACAGTAATACAGTAATACAGTAGTAATACAGTAGCATGAGGTAAAATCTTAAAAATATGGAGCCCAGTTACGCCCAACCTGCAATACTAAGAATGACATTCTCCTGCCTGTTAATCTAGTGACAAATAAAAGCAATAACATAGATGCTGCAAGTAGGTTATATTGCTTACCTTGATAAGGGCATTGATTTCCGTCCACACATCCTTGAACCCGTCCCTCAGTGTATCGTACGTCTCCGAGCCTTTGAGGGCAGCGAAACTCATATGGCTGCTACTTGCCTGAGTATTTGTAGCACCGAAGAGAATGCAGTACGTCATCAATACAAAGCTTGATGTGCTGGAAAACTGTGCTCCATCACCACTGATCTTCACCGTCACGGTTTCATTGCTTGGCTCCTCAATGTTGGCAGCCGCAAACAGACGACATATGTCATCAGCCAATAATGGGGCTAACTCCATTCTTGTTCCCTCAAATGGTTCAGGCAGGCTCAGGATATCATATGAGGCATTCATTCTTCGTCGATAATGGGCAACCATGTATGACCGTGGCATATTGTTGTACAACTGTGTAAATTCGTGATACAGTTCATCACTGCCTGAAAATTTATCTAAAAGGAAGAGAACCTTTTTGATATCGGTTTTGGACTGTTCACTGAGTTTTTCATAACGGTCTTCAATTGTTGCTGCTGTGTTTTCTGCGTTTGGTTCTGCATCAATGTTCTCCTTGTCGAAGGTTACCGAAACATCCTCAGCGGTTGCTGTGCACGTAACATCCATTGATGTTAGGCGGAAGCCGAACGATTCCAAGAACCATAGTGCTTTTTGAGCTTTATTCTGTATTTCTTTCTTTTTTCTCTGTTGCTGCCTTATTCTCAGTTCATGCACCGGCTTTCCCGTGTTGGCGAATTCCGTGAATTCTTTCGCCTTTTCTGTTAATTGTGTTTTTTGTTCGGCGTGTTTCCTCTCCTCAATTATCTGTGCATATAATATTTTTAGCTCCTGCTCTTTCGCTTCATTTAGTTTCTTTGCTGTGTCCAGTTGCATCGTAAGAGATTCCATCTTATCCCTCGCCGAAATGATCTCTTCCGCACAGATAACCATATTGCATTCTCCATCATATATTCGTTTTCTCTTATCTCCACCGGTACTCTTGCGATACTTTGCAAACACCTGTACATGTACACATGCCCGCATGCACATACGGACAAAAGAGCCTTATGAATAGATGGCATGCAAATCACCATTATTGTTTCATTCACTGTGGCCCGCTTCTCTAAGTATTTTATTTTAGTTTGAATCACGGCACCGGTGTACTGCTATATGTGTGCATGCCCTCGTGTGTGTGTGTGTGTGTGTGTGTGTGTGTGTGTGTGTGTGTGTGTGTGTGTGTGTGTGTGTGGTGTGTGTGCGCGCGCGTCTGCACATCCAGTGCATTTGCAGATTTGCGTGCTTATCTTGTGACAGGCGTGTACATGGTGTGTGTGCGCGCGTATTTGCACGCGCACGTCTGCACATCCGGTGCATTTGCAGATTTGCGTGCTTCTCTTGTGACGGGCGTGTACATGGTGTGTGTGTGTGTGTGTGTGTGTGTCTGTGTGTGCACATCCAGTGCATTTGCACATTTGCATGCTTCTCTTGTGACGGGCGTGTACATGGTGTGTGGTGTGTGTGTGTGTCCATGTAGTGCGTATCTGTGGGTGCACATCTTGTGCACTTGCAGATTAACGTGCTTCTCTTGCGGCGGGCGTATACATGGTTGTTTGTGCATTGGTCAGTTCAATTCGTCACAGTACTGCGGAAGATAAATGCAATTAATCTTACCTTCGAAATATTCGAGAATAGTCTGTTTTGCAGGGCTATGTTGCTTTCATCCAGTATGTGACCACCTGTTGCATAATATTATGACATGAAAATGAAATACATGTAGAATGAATAAATTTCATTTGCCCTGTTCAGAGACAAGATGAATAGAAATACATTCTGACTTACAGATCAGCGTCCTGTTGAGAGCAGCGACGTACACCGACCGTGGTGTGCTGGAGTCTTCATGGCACTTGTGCCAGTGAAGGAGAAGCCTGTGGGGGATGTGGACCTTGCCCACAGGCTTCTCCAGGCTGATGCGCCTGGCAGCATCACGAACGGCACAGACGAAAATGATTGTACAGATTACTCCTGGCAAAGCCAGGCGGCAGAGATCTGTTGCCATCTCAGCGGCATCCATCTCCGAAAAGAACTCCATCTTCGTCTGGAAAGGCTTGAAATACTCCATTTTCAACGGGCGTTCGCGGACTCGCGCTTTCTCGGATCGATTAATTTCCTGTTGGAACAGTTGCAGGGCAGCTTCCCGCCACTGTTTCAACAGGCGATGGCTCCAAAGCATGCCTGGAACAAGCAATATGGAGGTTGCAAGCCACCCCTCTCAGCCAAAAATACGAAGAAATTCGAAATTTCAATGGTGGAAGATATACTATGAAGAGAATTTCAAAAAGTATGTTTCGCAGAGCGATCGCTCAACCTACGTCATTCAAACTTTGCAGGATGGTTCAGACGTACATGCTAGGCATGGAACCACAGGCGATGATGCCATAGCTGACACACAGAGTAGCACACACAGCAGATTCGTGTGCACAGATACTAAATTAGTGGACGTCGTCATCTTCTTCCCGCTGATCTCGAATGTACTATGACGTACTATTTCGCCTGACGTTTTGAAATTCTCTTCATAGTATATCTTCCACCATTGAAATTTCGAATTTCTTGCTGAGAGGGGTGGCTTGCAACCTCGATATGGCTTATTCCAGACATGCTTTGGAGCCATCCCCTGTTGAAGTAGTGGCGGGAATCTGCCCTGCAACTGCTACAACAAAAAATGATTCGATCTGAGAAAGGGTGAGACCGCGAATCTCGGTTGAATATTGAGTATTTCAAGCCTTTTCACGACGAAGATGGTGTTCTTTTGGAGATGGCCGTCGCGGCGAAGGACATGGTGTCCGACTTCTGGCGTCTGGTGAAGCCAGGGATCATTTGTCCAGTCAGGTCGGCAGCCTAACCGTCGGTAAGCTTGTGTTTGGATCCCGTACTGCTCGATGTGGTGGATCACAAACAATTTGATATCGCACAAATTGATCTCAGCATCGTGCGTATGGTATTTTATATTCAGAAAATCCCAAAGTGTCTCTGTGTGGCCGTCCTATGCCACGAGAAACTCCAATCAGGCTCCTATGTCCTCTGCCTTCATGATTGAATGTCCACTTCGTTTGAACAACAAACACAACAATCGAGGAAAAATGAATGAAATGAAATGCAATGAAAAATACAGCTATACCGTCAGGCGAAATTACTGGTCAGTCGGCGACACGCATTTTTCACAAAAATTTGCGTTTCACCTGCTGGGAGAGTATGCGTGTACTCGAGTCTCATCCTGAGCACGTTTTTTCTTCTTTTTTCAGCTCCAGTATAGCTATATTTTTCATTGCAAAGCCGTCCTCGATTGTTGTGTTCGTTGTTCAAACGAAGTGGACATTCAATCATGAAGGCAGAGGACATAGGAGCCTGATTGGAGTTTCTCGTGGCATAGGACGGCCACACAGAGACACTTTGGGATTTTCTGAATATAAAATACCGTACGCACAATGCTGAGATCAATTTGTGCGATATCAAATTGTTTGTGATCTACCACATCGAGCAGAACGGGATCCAAACACAAGCTTACCGACGGTTAGGCTGCCGACCTGACTGGACAAATGATCCCTGGCTTCACCAGACGCCAGAAGTCGGACACCATGTCCTTTGCCGCGACGTCCATCTTCAAAAAGAACTCCATCTTCGTCGTGAAAAGGCTTGAAATACTCAATATTCAACCGAGATTCGCGGTCTCACCCTTTCTCAGATCGAATCATTTTTTGTGGTAGCAGTTGCAGGGCAGATCCCCGCCACTACTTCAACAGGCGATGGCTCCAAAGCATGCCTGGAACAAGCCATATCGAGGTTGCAAGCCACCCCTCTCAGCAAAAAATTCGAAGAAATTCGAAATTTCAATGGTGGAAGATATACTATGAAGAGAATTTCAAAAAGTATGTTTCGCGGAGTGATCGCTCAACCTACGTCATTCAAACTTTGCAAGATGGTTCAGACGTATATGCTAGGCATGGAACCACAGGCAATGATGCCATAGCTGACACACAGAGTAACACACACAGCAGATTCGTGTGCACAGATACTAAATTAGTGGACGTCGTCATCTTCTTCCCGCTGATCTCGAATGTACTATGACGTGCTATTTCGCCTGACGTGGAGCTGAAAAAAGAAGAAAAAAACGTGTTCAGGATGAGACTCGAGTACACGCATACTCTCCCAGCAGGTGAAACGCAAATTTTTGTGAAAAATGCGTGTCGCCGACTGACCAGTAATTTCGCCTGACGACTCACTTACTGATTTGCTTGTGAAGGAGAATCTGTGCAGGTGTAAGCATCAGCTCCTTCTTACAATCTGGACAGTAGTAGGATCCTTCAAGTCAATGGCCGATCCACTAGCTCAGCTGACTCAGTAGCGTCACCATCCAGAGCGTTGGCATCTAGTACAAATATCACACACACACACACACACACACACACACACACACACACACACACACACATTTCTTACATACACACACACATTTCTTACAAGATAGCCACAAACCATTGTGGTGCAAAAACGCACAGGGATACACATAGCGAAGGCAGCCAAACCAGTGGATCATGGAGGCGGGGCAAAGCAGCTAAACCGACCAAGGGTTTCGGTTTCAACACTGCTCCTGCGCGCCAAACTGAAGAATAAGAAATGAGAAAAAATGAGCAGGAGCACTACAGAGAAAATGAGAAGTAAAAGACTAAAAGTGGAAGCACAGTCATGCAATGTGTAGAATGGGAAGGCAAATTGTTGAGCAGCAGGCACACAACACATTGACAGCAAACGCCCAGCAGCAGGCATCCGAAAGCATACACACACACACACACTCTTGTACTGTACTTGCTCACTGCCAAAACTGGTTACATGGGTCTCCCCGGGAGACGGGAGAGAGACTCAAAACGAATCTTGGAAAGATGACTCAGTTGGACATTGAACCGCCCAACGGCCGACACCCCTGAAATCCCCAAACTATAAGTGGACTTGAAAATGATCCCATTCATGGGCTCACCACACCTCAGTAAGTTGGTGAGGACAAGGTGCAGAAAAGCACACAAGCGCACAGATGCACACAGGAACGCACACACTCTAACACACGCACACACACACACACACACACACACACACACACACACAACGCGCACATGCACCAGCACGCATGCATAGACATCAAATATGCACAATAATTTCAATAACAAGACAGGAGACCAAGAGCCGATTATGGGCAGATATCTATCGCCCAAACCCAGTCTTTACGTCGGAGGTGCTTATAGGTCGTCAGTTCGAAGGTTTGGAGGCCACGGTGGCATGGTGCCTCACTTAGAATAGCAGTTGGCAAGGAATTACAGGTAGGTACGAAGCTGAACACATATGAGCCAGGGACTACAGAAACCATCATTGGTCCCGGGACGGAGCTCCAGAGCCTCAGCCTACGGCGATACATTGCTGCATTAACATATATGTACAAACTGCATTTCATCACCGGTCCGACTCAATTGCTAGCAGTCCTCCCACCAAGGCTTGAGCCCCGTGACGCCACTCGCACTCGAAACGATCTCCGCAGGGCCGCCGGCCACAGTTACCAGCTACGAAATCCCCTACCGCGTCAAGCACCAGACACCATTCTTCGCAGCTTCCCATATTGTGCAATCCAGCTGTGGAATTCCCTGCCACCAGCTTGTCTAGACTCCGCCCCAACTCGCAAAAATCTTCAAAAGTTTAAGTGCAACGTCAACGAATACCTCCGCCGACAGGATTGGCGATGGTCCACGGACATTATGCCTGTCGACCCACCTACATTCTAGTGCCCCGTCAACGACTCCCATTGCTACGAATGCACTGCACACTAGTACTAGCTGTTGTTTGCCCTTGCTTTCTTTTTTTCTTTTTTGCTGACCCTTACAGCTCTATCTTTTGTTTTTGTCGCGTGTTTCTGGCCGTGATGCCGAGACCTCAGGTCGGCAGAGCCATCAATGCCTCACCATCACTGCTGCATCTCGGTGCAGCCCCTTCTCAGTAGTTGTCACGTTTGTCCTTGTCTCAGTACCATTGTCTTTCTGTATTATTTATGAGTTGGGTATGTGAACATAGTAAAAAAAACCACCCT